CTTCATCTCGGAATTGGGGGTTTGTGAGCCACTTGACTTGGCCACCACTTTTTTGCTTGCGCTCTTGGCGGCAGCGTCGAACTTGGAGCCCGCTAGAGATCATTAGAGTCAGCATCTTACTGTGTCTTCGCGAATCGCGAACCTTTCGACTGAGCAGCGAGCACGACATCGTCAGGGCTTGGTTGAGAGAAAGCACTGGGCACATAGGCGGAAGAGTCCATGTACGGCAGGGAGTACGTCTGAGAGGCGGCGGCAGTATCTTGAGCAGGTCCGAACAGGGTCTGAGCGAAGGCAGACGGCCTCGTAGATGGGACCACGAAACAGTCATCCTCAGTCTTCTTGCGATCCTCGGCAGAAAGTTCGTTGGCCGTGTCGGCATCCATACTAACTGCTTCAGAAGCTGTGTCGGCCTGCTGCGAGGGCGAAGCTGATTTTGAGATTTGAGTCTTCGCGGCAGGGTCTTCTGCCAACTTTTGTCGCTTCGCTAGTATGCTCAACCCGCCTCTCTGGTTCTCCTTGGACGATTCATCAATGGCAAGAGTTGACATTCTCTTCTCGGCTCGATCAACCTTGTCGTCTGTCTTGTTCACCTCGGTCGTCTTCTTCTTCCGTGCTGCAGCAAGGGCCTGAAGCTTTGATAGCTTGGGACCATCACCGCCGCCCAGAAGCCCCCCAGGAACGGGACGAGGGGGGACAAAGACGGCCTGTCGGCTCTTGGGAACGTTCATCCATGAAATGCCGTGGAAGTAAGAAGCAGGGGATAGTGGTGGCACCCTGGGAACTGGATATGTCGAAGTTGATACCATGCCGTAAGTCGTAGTCTTGTCGTCCATGCCTCCGCAACCAAACCCATCTGCTGCCGAAACGCTCAACTTCTGGTACTGCCGCCACCTCTCCGGGAACCCTGCCCTCACATGACTTTTAAAAGAAAATGAACTTACCATCTTTAGCCTTCTTCTCCTGCTTGGGCGCAGGTGGAGGTGCGATGAATTTCTTCTGTAGATAAGACACCGTCTTCTCGATGTCGTAATAGTAGTGCCACAGCGACTCTTGAATTTGCTGCACAGTCACTTTGTCGGCATCAGGACCAAGGGTGCTCTGCACTGTCGCAGTTCCTATTGCCATGGCCTCACGATCCTCTGCGCTGAGTTGATCAGCCTCTCCCTCCTCTTCGTAGTCATCGCCCTCGAATTCGTCGAGGGCCTCCTCATAGTCGAGGTTGCGTACTGCCTGGTGGCGCGACATCTTGACGTAGTTGGGGTAGGTGAGTGTTCTTTGTGGATGGATTGGGGAGAGGGGATGTCGCAGAGACCCAAGCTTTCAAGGTAAGAAAATGAAAGTGATCTGGGTGGTATGTGATATCCAGTGATTTATTCACTCGACCGGGGGGATAGAAGCTCTTTAACAACTGGTTTTGCAGCTTTTCGGAGATGACGCTGTGTTGAGTTTGGTCATGGCCTGAAGTGGCATGTGTGGGGCGCTTGGGGCGCTTTGGTCATGGCCACCGCAAGAGCCATGGAGGGGCAACCACGTCCATGGCGGGGTACTTGCTGTTGCCTTCCAGGCCTTGCTAGGCGGTGAGCCGCCGGATTATCTGCACCCCGGCAACCGAAGCTTCTGGTCCCCCAGAATGGCAGGCACCACCAATTATTCAGAAATTTTGGTCCACCACGACCCGGTCCTTGGAGCTCAACCCCCCTCAACGCACGATACCTCTCCTTCCCCCGGCGTCACTCCCAGTTGAATCGCACTACCCATCCGAAACCCCAGCGACGTGCGAAAACCTTCAACATGGCTATGAGTATGTGGTACCCTTCCCTGTGAAATTCATTGTTGCATGCAGCTAACATTATGTCTAGACCTTGATATGGCCAATGGTAATGAATGCCACGATCCGAGCTTCGAGACCACATATACTGACGAAATGACACTGTAGCGGCCGTGATGAAGGACGAGCAAGGCCGTCCCTTCATCGTTGTCAGAGAGTAAGCTCGCCCTCTCTTGCCCTACCCCGAACCCCTGATAAGGAGACCCAGGACTGATTGCCCCCCAGCCAAGGAAAGAAGAAGAGACAATATGGCAACGAAGCCGTCAAGAACCACATCCTCGCCGCCAGAACGGTCGCGAACATCGTCAAGACCTCCCTGGGTCCTCGTGGCCTCGATAAGATTCTCATCTCCCCCGATGGAGACATCACAGTGACAAACGACGGCGCCACGATTCTGCAACAGATGGAGATCTCAAACCACGTCGCTAAGCTGTTGGTGGAGCTTTCAAAGTCGCAAGATGACGAGATTGGTGATGGTACAACCGGTGTCGTCGTGCTTGCTGGTGCTCTCCTTGAGCAGGCGGCAGAGCTGATCGATAAGGGAATCCACCCCATCCGCATTGCGGACGGATACGACCAGGCTTGCGACATCGCCGTGTCGGAGCTTGACAAGATTTCAGATGTCATCGAGTTCAGCAAAGAAGAGACAGGAAACCTGCTGAAGGTTGCACGAACAAGTTTGGGCAGCAAGATTGTTTCCAAGGCACACGACCAGTTCTCTCAGATCGCAGTGGACGCTGTCCTCTCCGTTGCCGACCTGGACCGGAGGGACGTTGACTTTGAGTTGATCAAGGTCGACGGCAAGGTCGGAGGAGCTTTGGAGGATACCATGCTCGTCAAGGGCGTCATTATCGACAAGGATTTCTCTCACCCCCAGATGCCTTCCGAAGTCAAGGACGCCAAGATCGCCATTCTTACCTGCGCCTTCGAACCCCCTAAGCCCAAGACTAAGCACAAGCTCGACATCACCAGCGTTGAGGAGTACAAAAAGTTGCAGAGTTACGAACGCGAGAAGTTTATCGAGATGATTCAACAAATCAAGGATGCCGGTGCCAACTTGGCTCTCTGCCAGTGGGGTTTCGACGATGAGGCGAACCACCTGTTGCTCCAGAACGACTTGCCTGCCGTGCGGTGGGTTGGAGGACCGGAGATCGAGTTGGTGGCTATTGCGACAAACGGTCGTATCGTGCCGCGGTTCGAGGACCTCAAGCCCGAGAAGCTCGGAACTGCAGGTATCGTCAGAGAAATGACCTTTGGCACAACAAGAGAGAAAATGCTAGTCATTGAGGAGTGCGCCAACACCCGCGCGGTGACCGTCTTTGTGCGCGGTAGCAACAAGATGGTGCGTTCCTGACAAAATGTTTGAGATTAAGCAAAAGCTAACCCCCAATGTCAGATCATCGATGAGGCGAAGCGCTCCCTCCACGATGCCTTGTGCGTCGTGCGCAACCTTGTCAAGGACAACCGCGTGGTCTACGGTGGTGGTGCTGCCGAGATTGCCTGCTCATTGGCAGTCGAGGACGCCGCCGCCAAGACCCCTGGCCTTGAGCAATACGCCATGCGCGGATTTGCCGAGGCCCTCGACGCTGTCCCGATGGCCCTGGCCGAGAACAGCGGTCTGAACCCCATCGCGACGCTGGCCGACATCAAGAGTCAGCAGGTCAAGGCCGGTCCTGGAGTCCGTGGCAAGCTCGGTGTCGACTGCATGCAGCGCGGCAGCAACGACATGAAGGATGCATTTGTCATCGACCCCCTTATCAGCAAGAAGCAGCAACTCCAGCTCGCGACGCAATTATGCCGTATGGTCCTGAAGGTGAACAACGTCATTGTTGCCGGGTCCGGCGAGGAAGACTTTTAAAAGTTTATAAAACGGTAAAAAAGGTTCTAGATAGGTCTATGGTGTTTGGGATTATACCAAGCTGTGTACTATGCAAATAGAGAGGCCCCCACAATGTCGAGACCATGATTTCTGTCCTCCCACGCAACGAACCGTCTAGTGCTTGCCCTGCCCCTCTTGCCACTTACTGCATCCAGCCTCTCTCGGGGCTGTACTTGAGATACGGCTCCATTTCACGATAGAAGGTTTGGCGGAGCTCGGCCTGTTGCTCAGGCGTCGGGCGGGTATCCTCGCCCTTACGGCGCTGCCAGCTCTCCTGCGTCTCTTTGAGGAGGGCCTTGGGGTCCTGTCCCGTGGCATCTTCGAATTCGTACGATCTGTACTCAGTGTTTTCCCAGCCAGTTGCTACACTTAGAATTAGTGAACGGCTCCCATCTCACTCAACTCCATGCCATGGGGGTGTCCATAGAAGACATTTAAGAAACAAATAAAGAATCTCGAAAACGAGAAAAATACGTACCCTTCTTGGGAGCAATCCCATACCAATCATCCGTCAAAAAGTGCAAAATGCCACCGTGCGTGACGACCACGACCTGCGCGTCCCCCGACACATCCCCGCCCACGAGCTCCCTCAGCGCCCTCCTCGCCTCGGCAGACCTCGCCTCCAGCTTCTCCAGCGTCGGCTCCCATCTCGAGTCGGGGCCGGCCTTGTCGATCCAGTCCTCGGGCACCCTGCTGAAATCCACGCGGCCGGCGAATTCGGCCTCAATGTCCTTGATGGCTGAGCCGGTGTCGCACGGCGCGTCGGAGACTTCTTGTACCTCGGGCAGGGCGAGGACCTTGAGAGAGGAGCCCGAAGAGTCAGAGGAAGAGGAGTCGGAACCGAAGCCTAGGAGGCAGGTGTAGAGGGTCCGGCGGAGGGGACTGGCGACGAGGTGGGTGATGCGGTCGTGGTGGGGGAAGGCGGTGCGGAGGTCGGCGCACTGCTGTTTTCCCTTTTCTGTGAGGAGGGGGTCGCGGAGGGCTTCGTTTTCGAGGGAGAGGTTGTGGAAGCCTTGGGCGTGGCGGACGAGGTGGATTTGGACTGGCATTTTGTTTGAGGTTGTGGTTGGTTTTTTTGAACTTTTCTTCAGGTATGATGATGACGAGCTTGGGATGAATTGGCGGGGTGGCGGGGCAAGATGCTTGCGTGTATGCTGTTACACAGTGTCTTTGGCTCTAGTGAGAAACAGAAAGTGAAAAAAGTAGCATGTGGTCTAATTGAATCTCTAAATTTCACAATGGAAATGGGAAAGACGGGGTTCTCGACAGATGTTCGGATGGTTCACGATCCAATTATATATAAACGAAAGCTCTAGTAAGTTGAGAGGATGAGCTACGTAATGCGTCCCTCCACCCCCCAATTCTCGGGAAAGTTTCCTTGTTTGGCGTGGGTGTGGGCAATCCGGTGGAGGGAACGGGAAAGTCTGTTAAGCCTGTGTCTAGAAATGACTCAGATGAACCGCCTTTACCTTGGGACGGGCGTCGGAACACACCTAAACTAATAAGCAGGCACCCGAGTAGAGAAATCATGACACCGGACGGGTTCCACGTGGGTTGCCATAGGGGCCTTCTACGGTGCCTTGCCTTGTGTTGGGGCGCTTCGCGTTGCTGGTTTCAAGAATGCTTGAAAGCTAAGCTGCTGTGATAGCGGTCCGCAGTCGCACCATTCGGCGCCGATGACCGGGGCGGAAAGTGGAGTCTCACGCCGCGCTGGCGCCGTGCCGTGGTTGGCCGGAGGGGGTTGGACGCGGGCTTTTGTTGCTTCTTTTGCATGATTGGTCCGGCAAGAGGAGCGGGTGGCCGGCTACCTTACCTCGCCTTACCTTACCTACGGTCAAAAGCCGGTGGAATGGATTTCTACTTCTAGATTTGCTCCCCGGCGGAAATTGTGAGTCAGAAGGAATTATTGCCTTTGACGATGCGCTTTAATATCGTTTGAGAAGGCTCGTGACGGGCGAGGATAATTACAGAGTAAAATAATTAAGAGGGCTACAGTCATGGCCTAGGCACGCAAAGTTGACGTGCGGGAAGCCTGTCTTGGAAATGTACATGTTAAAGGGGGATTCTAAACGTGGTATTCACCCGCGTCCGTGTGTTAGTAAGGGAATGCTAGGTGAATCATCCACATAAGCCCTTGCCTGGATGCTCCGACTTGAGTCTTCACATAGGGTCCATTATCAACATCACAGTCACAAGTTGGACAGTAATCATGATCCAATAAAACTTTCATTTTGTAGCTCATTCTTAAGTCTGAAGATGCTAGTGTCGGGCTCTCCCTGACCCTGAAACGCCGAGAGCTAATGGCCTGCATGCTTCCTGATTACTTTCCTGTCTTTCAAAGATCAATGAGACTCTCCTCCACTGCCGGCTGCTTAGGTGCGTTTTGCGGAGCAGACGGAAATGATTCCTGGGTATATCCGCTGTTGTACTGGCCTTGCCAATGCTGTTGAGGGTGCGCCGATTGCTGCGGTACTGATGGTTGCCAGTAGCTTTGCTGCTGGGGCGGAGCCTGTTGTTGCGTGGGCTGTTCCGGCTGAGCAGGCGTTTGAGTAGGTGTTTGTTGGGGTGGCATGGGCTGTCGGTATTGCACTGGCTGCTGAAGATTCGGGTATGGCGATGGGTTAGGATCCGCGTTCGGCGGAGCAGAAGGAGGTGCGCTAGGCTGCTGAGGGTTGAAGTAATAAGAAGCGTTGGGGTCTGCCGAAGGGGTGCCCGGAGGTTGACCTGGCTGGTTCTGGTGATTTGCTTGAGGCGGTTCGCTTGGAGCATAAGACTGCTGGGGTGCGTATTGGCCGTCAGGTACGGGACCAGCTCCGCTTCTCCAGCTATCCGTTCTTTGAGGCTCTTGGCCAGGATACGGTCCTCCCGGCTGACCAGCCATGGATGCGCGCTTGTCAAAAGTCGCGTACTGAGGTTGTGGAGTGTGCTGCGGGTGTTGTGCGTAGGCCTGAGGTGGCGGTGCGTGGCCGTAGTCCATCTGCTGTGATCCGGTATAGAAATTCTCGGCCAGGCCGGCACCCCCAGGTGCACTGCCTTGCAGCGTAGGGTAAGCGCCAGACTGGCGAGGGGGGAGATTGTATCCTCCCCCAATTGCGTGCTGGCTGTATGCCTTGGACAGGCGCTCTTCTAGCATCCTGTCGTAGTAGCGAACAACGGTGGAAAGTTTGGCATGTAGGTCGAGTAGTGTGTCTAGAGGCTGTGTGAGAAGACAGAGACGGACACCTGGAATTCCAGGGGTACTTACCATGCTTGCTCATAGTCTCGCCGTAAGTACGGGCAAGCTTAGGCCGCAGTGTGCCGATGCTATCGTAAAGTTCTTGGATTTGAGGCTCGCGCAGAATGGTGCCGGGGGGTTGTGTTTGCAGGCGGTCGACGAGAGTTGCAAACAGGTTAATGTTCTCAGCCTCAACCGGTGTTAGCTCGTAATCGTTCTTGGGCAGAGAAAACTGCTGAGTAGGGTTTGGTCCGGGATTCGAGGTGTGCTCCTTCAAGACTGCCGCATGTCTTTGCTTCTGCTCCTCCATATCAGCTAGCGAAGCGGCGATGGCAGCCTTGAGGTCGTCATCTTCCTCATCCGCGCCGGACGATGCTGCAGGCGCAGAGCTGCCGTTGACCTTGGGTCCCGAGGGACCATTGGCCGTAGGTGCAACGTAGCCCTGAGAGTAGCCTTTGACCTCCTCCAAGCTCATAGCTAGCGCCTTTTTCAGGTCCTCGTCGAATGCGTCGTCGACGCGGGCGTTGCGTGGTTGCATGGCCGATGTGCTTCGTGTCTTGTAAGGATAGGTGGGAGATCGGTCTTGCGACAGCGGCGAAGGTGGTGCAGCACCTCCCTTGGCCGATCTGTCCATGAGCTTCGCGTAGCAGCCGTCGTCGACGCGGACGGGCTGCATGATGCCGAGGTGGGGGAGGGGTAGCGACTTGGCCGAACATTGTTGATCGAAGCAGTTGCCGCAGTTTCGGCAGTGATGCTTTCGGTTCGTGAAGGTAAAGGCGGTGCGGCATCGCATGCAGACATCTGAATCCACCCACTCGGGGGGCTTTGAGAAGCTTGTCAGTTTGGGCTGGGAAGATTCATAGCCGTGGATGAGAACCTACCGCGCTGCTGTCGATCATGCTGCTGGAGACGCTGATTTTAGGAGGAAACTGATGACCTTCCCTTTGCAACGTCTTGTAGACCTCTCCGATGTATCCCAGTTCAAGGCGTCCTTCAGTGGCGGCGGCCCAAGATTGTATCAGCTCGAGAATCTTCTGCTTGACTTCGTGGTTGACGGCGGCGGGTCCGACAGCTTGAAGGAGGGAGGTCAGGTTGTCCATGAACTCCCTTGAGGCGATTTCGGCGAGGAAGTGGGTGCCTCCATTCTTTACACACGTGTCGGTGAGCTGCGGGCGGACAGAGTCAGTTCAGTCAAGCGTGATCAGGCAGCAACGATGACCTACATTCAGTGCGCTCAGCTGGGTATTAGGGTTCTTGTTGCCGATGCGCCTCTTCAAGGAGCGCATGGCCTCCTTAGGCTGAACGGTCTTTGATCTGATGACATCAGAGATCTCGAGATTCAGGGCGATATCCTCCCTGTGTCAATGTTAGAAGAGCATGACAACGGATGGCAGACAGTCGTACAAGCTGCTGCCTGTGGCTTTCTCAATTTGCTCGTCCAAGGCCGTGTTGGCCGAGCTGGACCACCAGCCCATCATTTTGAAGGCTGGAAATGTTTTGTCGGGCGGGGAGTGAGAGTAAACAGGCGGCTATCGATCGTCGGGATGGTTTATCTAGCTCGAGAAAGCGGGCGCGCAATCGCGAGGCTGTCGTCGTCTTTGTCGTCGTACGTAAAGCGGGCCAGATGGGTTGCGCGTATGTAGGAGATGTGGATGAAAGGCAAAGAGGAAAGCTTGTGTGTGTGTTTCTAATGGTTGCCCAGATGCGGCAGCCTCAGGGTCGGGTTTGCGTACACAGTAAGGTAAGGCCTAGTTGGAGATGCAGCAGGCCTAGGCGTAGTCGGCATAGGCTAAAGCAGTGGAGGCGTGGGCAGCTGCGGGCAGTGGTGTCGAACACAGACAAGGTCCGCTGGGTTACGTTGGCTTAGTACGAATGAGCAGGGGTTGGAATGTGTCGGGCAGTGGATGGACGGTGGATTTAGAGTCGCTGCCTTGGGTTGGAGGAGTCTAACTACGGATACCTATTGCATCTTCAGGTTGCTGTCGTCGCGGACTCGTGGCTGCTCCGCTTGGAACACGGCCCTGTGACGAACGGAGGTCTCCGCGCTAAACCCAAAGAAACAGTGTAATATTGAGAATGGGGGGAGGGAATGGGATTTTGGCAAGGCCAGCTGCCCACCTCAGCTCGTTCCCGTTTCCCCCAGAGCAGGCACGGAGTACGTATCCTCTATGACGATGGCGGTGGAGCATCTGTGGCGCGTGCCATTTGAGGCTGAACTGGAGGCTTCGAGTTGGGAAGGAGACTCTTGTGAGGTGACTTGCTTTACGCTACTGGGCATGTGGGCTGGCAGCTACGTAATCAAGGGACCTCATTAGATACCTCACACCTACCCAGGCCTGACTCTGCTTCCTGGGAGGCATAGTCACCAACTTCCAGTTTATGCTTTTCCGGCAGGCCTTGAGCAATAAACAATGTAACTTAGTTTCGGAGCAGATACTCTCATCAAACGCAATAAACCATTCAACTGCCTAAAGTGGGCATTCATAAGCCAAGTTATATTGGTTGTGGCGCTGCATGATATATGAGTTGTCAAGGCCAAGGACGTGGATCATCTCCGTCAGTGCAAGTCGCCGCTCAAAACTCGGGGCCGGGTGACTTGAGGTGGGCAAGAAGCAGGGCACTGCCCGCCAGTTCCAGTGCCCGAACCGCTGTTCAGTCCGGATGCGTCAGTGAGATGGCCTCCACTGCGGTGGAAGGTGGTTTATTCCCCTGCTCTGCAGCGCAACGCCCTAGAGAAAGAGTACGGGCCCTGTCGGAAAAGGTACCGAGTCACCCCTCCCCAGCACAGCCGCCGCAACGGTACCGTTTCCTCTCCACAATGTCTTGCTATTGTTGAAACTGTTAGCGCCAGCGAGCGAGGCTGTCCCTCCACCACGGACCATCTGGCTTTCACAGGACCGCTGCGCACCTGCCAATCCAACTTCATCCATCAAAGACTGACATTCTTTCCTTTCGCCCATCCTACCCAACCACACTACGACCCTTCTTTTCGAGCTTCGTCTCAATCTAGAGAACAATGTCTATTCAACCTCGCCCTGCAGTACCCGAATAAACCATCCTACGGCCAAACACAAACCTCTACAAAACTATCTAGTCTGCGTCACTGCCACTCATGACGAACCCGTCGCCAACTATCGTTGCGTCCCCGTCCTATCCTCGTCCTCGTCCGACCTACCTCGACGCCTCCGATTTCCACACTTCCTCGACATCACCAGCGATAGCTTCCTTTCCCTGCATCCGAGCCACCACGCTTACAACGACATGATTCAAGCTCCATACCCGATTCCAAGACATCCATTTCCGTTCACATGAGCTC